GATAAGTGAGATGCAGGTATCCTGGTCTGGAAGAAAGTAAGTACGTAGGACAGTACCACAAGGCTTACCAGCCCTGTGGGTAGCAGAGGGTACAGAATGCTGGGGTCCTGAGGAGGTACTGTAACCCGTGAGGTCCCCTGAAGCAGGGGTGCTTCCATAGGAGCCTCCAGGCTGCTGAGGTGGTGGGTGATCTGATTCAGCAGCCTTATCCAGCAGATCCCCTGGAGCAGGGGTGCTTCCATGTGAGCCTCAAGGCAAGGGCAGTACTCAAGAGTCAGGTGAGGGGGTGGGATTCCAGGCTGCCATCTGGAAGGGGTGACCACAGTTCTTCAAGGGGTCAGACAAGCAACAAGGCCTGGCTTCAGCCCCCTTCTAAAGATGGTAGAAATTAGGTAACAAAAGGAGAGGGCAGATGGGGCAGAAGCTAGAGGAAGGCTCTCCCGAGGTCTGCTGCATTGCACAACTCTGTGGCAGCTCTGCTTGCAGCTTGGTGGTCACCTAGGAGCCCGAACGAGCCCCAGGCTCCCTGATGCCTTGTCTGCTAATCACAGCCATTGGAGGAGAGGAATCTCCTTGTCTGGGGAAGTGCACCTCGCCCCACACCTCACCGTCCAGGGCCAAGACATCTGATATGATCCTTGCCTCGATCAGGGCCTGAGATGCCGACCTGCCAGTGCTCCGTCAGGGCTGCACCTGCATGGTGCACGGCCCACACGGCCTTCTGCCTGTGCCCAGCATCTGGAAACCCGAGTGGATCCAACCACTAAAGATGTTTGATTCTCTAGATTTGTCACAAATTGTAGTTGGATGCTACGGGTCCTGAGAGCTAAAAGGGCCCACACATCGTATTTCTTCTTGCCTCTACTCTGATTTCGTAGTCTTTCCAAGGTCGCTCTCATAGCTCCAATGTGTAGCTAACTTTCTCACAACAGAGGCAGAGGACGTAGTCAACCTGATGGTTTCCAGTTCTACACCACACCCACGTGGCTTCAGTCAGTGGCCAGAGACAGGAACGTAGAGTCAGCTCTCCCAGCTAGCAGACTGGGCTTGCTACTCTCTTGTTATCCCTTTAAATGGACCATCCAGGCATTTACTCCAACCGTAATTGAGTGACCCACACCCCATTCCCCAAGATACACTGCTGGTTGCCCCACTCTTCTCTTACTCTCTCTGCCTGCGCTCCCTGACCTCCCAGGACCTGTAAGAACTGAAACCTCTTCCACTTTTGCATGTGACTGTGTCATGGAAGCTGCTCTAAAATCTGACCCCGCAGGCTGCCCAGAGGGGCCCCATGTCTTGGCTGGACCACTTCTGTCTGAGCACTTCTGCCTGGGCCATTGGTGGCTGCTGAAGACAGTAGTCCCCAGCCAAGGTGATCAAGGCTTTGATGCAAAATACCCAGTCATGACTTTTTTTTTTGCCTTGTCTAGAAATTCTCACTCCTCTGTTGTTCTTGATGGTGACAGCTATGTTTCTTTCACTCTCCCTCCCCAGCCAGGGAAAACACCCGTGGGCCTATCGGACAGCATTGCTTCTGAGGACAGCCGTGTGCCCATGAGCCCAGACTCCCCTGACCTGCAGGCTGTGGAGCGAGCAGGCGAAGATTCCCAGAGTACCTGCATCCCTGTGGGCCGAAGACCCGTTGGCTTTGACCTGCTTGGCTCCCCACTCACAGAGCTTTCTATGCACCAAGACCCCAGCCAGGGACGTGAGGTCCAGCCGCCCCCAGTCAACCGCAGCCTCAAGCCTAACCAGAAAGGTAAGTCTTTCCCCATTCCATCTCCTGACAATGTCCAGGGACTCTGTATTCGCTTCGGGTTCTGGTAGATCCTGGATGTGGAATGTCTGACTTCGGTAAGTCATGTGAATTCTCTGAGCCTGTTTTCTTCTCTCTGAAACGGAGATAGTAACTCCTGCTTCCTGGGTTTGTTTGGAAGGAGAGTGTCTGGGACAGTGGCCCAGGCCAGTGAAGTTTGGCCTGTGCCTACCACATGTAGACCAGGAGGAAGAGCTGGAGTTCCGGTTCCAGGCTGCCACGACCTCACCCTGTGGCCTCGGGCCAGCACAGGGTTCAAGGGAGGAGTGGGATAACTGGGTGGGGATCAGCCCTGTGGGTCTGGCCACAGGGAACCAGACCTCGGTGAGTGGTGCTGGGGCCTCAGCACCTCATGGCGTCCTGCTTCCACGGTGGACTGCACGGCCCTGTCCAGGGCAAGCAGGGGCAGGCCTGGGGACCAAATCCATTTCAAACGTTGCATCTGGTTTTTATGTTAAGTCAAATTTAGGCAGAAAAATCTGTTGTCAGACTATCTGTCCCCATTTTGGATTCTGAAAATACAGGGGCCATAGAGACAGTGGGAGGAACATATGATCTGGAATCTGAGAACAGGACTCTCGGGCCCTTCAGGATGGCCCAGCTGATGGAGCCTTGTCAAGCCTCAACCCCCCACACACAGCTGGGTGGATATCGTGGGCTCTTCTAAGCACACATGGGCCTTGTAGCAAAGTGAACATGGGTGTGAAGGCATCACTGGCTGATGACTGAAGGTTCTTTTCCTGCTCCAGCAAACCCAACACTGCCCAACCTGAGGAACAACAGGGTCATCAATGAGCTCTCCTTCAAGTCACCTGTCACAGAGCCCTGGTCTAGGGCCAGGTGAGTGTCTGTCAGTGGAAACAGGAGCTTGGGGCCACCAGGCTGGTGGAGGAGTGGGATGGTCGTTGGCTGGTGGTCAGGATAAATGGATGCTGACGTTAGTGTGGACATAGCTGATCCTGTCCCCATCTAGTGAGGCATGGCCTTCTCATCGGTAAAGGGGGAATTATGATTCCTGCCTCTGTCAGTTCTTGATCTGGTAACAGAGGGTGAGGTCTGGATGCTTGGGGTCAGGGCCCAGCAGGAGGCTGGAGCCCTGACAGCAGTCCTGAGAGCGCCCAGGATATACTCCTTGTCTTCTTCCTGCAACAGCCACACCTTTGACTCCAGCTCCTCCCAGTGCCCCACCTCCACGCAGGGCATCACCAGCGCAGACTTGGGAGAAAGCGGAGAGAGATACGTTTTCCTGGTGAGTCCTTGAGGGTCACTGTAAGGCTCCTATGAGAGTCCCTTGGGACCCACACTCATGTCCCCACTTCCTAGCTTAGCTATTCCGGCTGACTAACCCCAGCCCAGTCAGGTGAGATTTGGTCTCCTGCTGCAAACTCGTATTGAAGCACAGGTGTATCAGGCAGTCATCAGAGTTAGGAAGATGATGGTCTCCCCTCAAGGAAGTCTGAGACTTGAAGAGCAGAGGCAGCCTACCTCTCCCTCATGATGGTGACACAGGTGGTGTCACTTGGTGTCACAGGGCCCTGCCCTGGAAGAGGCAGAGCTGGAGGGTCTCCTCGGCTGTAGGGAGACACACATGTGCATTCCTCATCAAGGTGAGGGCTGCGAGAGCCGTGGAGATGCAGGTGGAGCACAAGACCCCTTTAGACTGGCACTGAAGAGGGCATCATGGCCAGCACTTGATAGTTGCTACATAGATATTGGAAGAATAAGCCAGCCAGCCAGCAAAGCAGCCATAACCGAGCCCAGGACCGCTGCCTTTCTCACCAGAGCCAGGTTTCAGGAACGTCCCAGCAAGGAGGAACGCCCCAGCAAGGTGGCAGCCTTCTAGAGAGGAGGCTGGGGGAGCCAGGACCTGGCATGTCTCCTGCAGAGCTGCCAAGGGAGCAGGCACCATGCAGCCTGGGGTGGTGGGCGCTGCCGAACTCTGGGAACTGGAGGGGAAGGCAGCTGCTTCGTGAGATGGCCCCACTCTGGGCCATGGGTGGGAGTTTCAGAGGACCGAGTGGGTGCAGCATCCAGTGTGTGCAGGAGAGGTGCAGCAGTAACACCTGCCTCGCAGGACTGCTGAGAGGGTTTGAATGAGCAGGGATTGTTCCAGTGCATGGCTCAGAGTAGGACCCAGTGGGTATGTGGCTACACCCACGGGCGTGTTCCAGTGGGTGCTGGGTCCGACCGTGTCATAAACTCACCTGCAGGATTTTCCTCCTTGTGACAACAGAACCCGACGTCTGCGTTTCCTGTTCTCGGTGGCACCAGCAGTTCAGCCCTGGTGAGGAGCCCCGGTAGCGTCCACTATGTGGCCGTGGACTTCCAGCCAAGCCAGGTGCCTGGAGTGGAGCTGGGGTCGGGCGGAGCCCTTGGGCTCTGGGGGAGAGACCGTGGGGCCAGGGGTTTAGCACCAGCAGCAGCACTTGCCCCTCCCGGCCTGGCCTGGCTCGTATGCTCAGTGGTGCTCTGGTCTGGATCTTGGGGCTCCTGTTCCTTCTCTCTCAGCATGGTGCCTCGATCAGTCTGCCCTGACTCCCTGGAGAGATGGACACATGACTGTGCAGAGCCCTGATCTGTGGAGGCTGCAGAATAGATCAGGAGAGACCCAGGACTCAGTGTCCTGCCTCCAGGCCAAACTCTTCCGTGAGGAGAACTCACTGTGTGGGAGGTCCCAGAGCCCAGCCATTGATGCAGGGCCTCACAAGGAACTTCTGGGCCCAGGAAAGCCTCTTGAGGAAGCACATGTAGCCAGCCTGTCTAGACGGCAGGGTGGGGAGTGCCACCTCTGCACATTGCCCCCCTTGGGGAGATAGGGCTCACCTAGGGTACCCCCGGAAAGACCTAGGCTGCTGCTTGTTGGCACCTGGGAAATTTCCTGCCCTGGATGGATGAGTGGGTCGCGGGGAAGGCCTTGGCCAATCCTCGGGCCAGAGAAGGGCCTGGCTCTTCTTGTGAGCTGGGAGATGGGAAGCACTGGCAGGGCTGTGACATCTGGCAGGAGGCAGGTTAGCCTGGAGTTGAAGCTTTAAAGCCCAAGACCCCCCAGGCTGCTGAGAGCAGGAGCTGGAGGCTCCTCTTCCCTGAGAAAGTTCGGGAGAGCCCACTCCTCGGCCTGCCCCCCTCACCAGGAACTCCACACTCCCATTTCCACTTCCACTCTGTGTCCCTCAGATATCCGTAAGCTCTGTCACATCCGGCAAGAAGGCGGAATATGTCCAGGTGGATCCGGAGAAGACCCAGGCCCTGCAGAAGACCACGCATGAGCAGATGTGCCTGCGGCAGTCCTTGGAGCCGCCCAGGGGCACCAAGCTGTGACTGGGACACCGAAACCAGAGAGGGGCCAGGGCAGTGCTAGTCCTCCACACGCTAAGGCTCTCTGATGTCAGGGACCCCATCCCTTACGGAGAGCGGAGCCTGATCAAGGTACATCCTCTGCCTGGTTGGGACCCACCTATGCCTTTGGCTGGCCATGGGCCCCACCTTTACCCCCTTGCCAGGAACAGTTCCCAGCAGCACCCTGTCTCTTCCTGCCCCTCAGACCCAGGCTCCCAACAGATTCCACACTCACAGTTCTCAGCCTCTTCCTTCCAGCCTTTGGGCTGTTCCCCTCAATACTGCAACATGAGGAGCCACCATGCTGGTCCTGGGAGCCAAGGCCCGCAGGCCACAGTGGACATGGACCTTTTTAGCCCTGGCACTTTTTGGTCGGGGGACAGGCAAGGCCATCAAACACTGGAAAACTTGAGAAGGAAAGTGAAAGGTGGTCTTGAGAAGCAAAGGAATTAGGTCCTCAGACCCAGCAGGGCAGCTGATGCCTGCAGGGGCTCCCACTTCAGGCTGAGGCCAGCGCATAAAGCAGCTGTTCCGGTCCGGAAGAGGCAGAGAGGGAAGGGCAAAAGGAAGGGAAAACATGAGGTTGGGCAGCCGAAAGCCACAAGGAGCAGGACGGGAGCTCCAGAGACTGGGGTGACAAGGACCGGGGTCAGGGCCCCAGAGATCTGGTGATGCCCCTTGGAGGGCCCTTTGCCTGCCTAAGGAGGCTTGGTTGGAGCTGGGCAAAGTGGCAGCTGATGGGGGATACCTGCAGGGTGAGGCGTGGGATGTGAGAGGGAGGGAAAGAACGTGCAGAGAGTGGTGGCACAGGGCTGAGGGGGTCCTGGGACAGGAACGGGCTGGCAGGGGCCCAAGGCAGGGCCCAGGACTCTGCAATGCAGGTGGTGCAGCATGTGACTTTCTGTGAAGGGGCAGAGCAATGAGGAGGGCACAGAGGGAACCCATGGGAGGCAAGGCTGGGGAGCCGGCCAGGGAGAAGTAGGGAAATGTGGCCGGGATCTGGGGGAATGCCAGGAGTGAATGGGATACAGGAGCAGACAGTGAAGGGGGCCCACTGTGCACGGGAGCAGTGAGGCCGGCTGGAGGGCGTGGGAAGCAGGTGGAGGACCACCTGGGGTGGGGCTGGGGCCGTGCCAGGCCCAGTATTTCCTTCTCACTTTGCCCTCTTCCCTGGCATTCCAGTGCCACACCGGACTCAAACTTGGCTGTGTGGCCAGGAGAAGCCAGTCTCCTCCTCCTGTGACTTGAGAGAGCCTCAGATCCCAGGTTCAGAAGGTAGGGCCCCACCCAGGGCTCCGTGTGCTAAGGTTCAGGTGTGGGTCGGAATTTTTTATATTGAAGGTTTTTGACCAAAATTTCCAAGAGTGAACAGGGCAGTTCAGACATTTCTTCCTACCCTGGGGTGAACAGACTTTCCTCCTCCAAAAATGTGACTGCCCACAGGCTTTGATGGAGGCAGCCTCCACACCCTGTCAGCGCCTGTGAGCATCTCACCTCACCAGACCAGGGGCCTGGCCGGCTTCTGGGAATCCAGCCCTCAGCAGGGACCCTCTCCGCGGTAGCTCAAAGGCTCAGGTGGCAGGGCCCCGGGCTTAGGTACCGAGGACACAGGGAATCAATCAGACCTTTGCCCAAACTTGACAAGGTCACATCAGTGAGGACAAGGACAGACAGCGGTGATGGCCAAGATGGGCTGACTGCTGCCAGTGGTGAAGACTCCTTCTCAGGGAGTGGGGCAGGGAGGGTGGGTTTTAGGACAAGGGGTGCCTGAGTTAGGCTGGAGAGGTTAGGTCAGATTTTTACAGGGAAGGAGGGCACAGCGAGGGTGCAGTGGAGGAAGGAAGGACAGACTGGAAGAGCCTTGGCCGAGGGGACAGAGTGCAGGTGCAGCTGTTCAGAACTGCAGGGGCCGGGCCTCCGTGCTCCCACAGGTGGGGTGGTGATGGCTGCGTGGCCACACTGGGCAGGGGTGCAGGGTGGTGGCTTACTGGCCCAGCCCTGACTGTCCCTCCGTAAGTCCCTCCAGGTGGTCTCACACAGCGAAGCTCTTAACTGGCACCCCCTGTCCTTAGCTGACTACAGTGGGGCCGGTATTGATCTCAGCTTCCAGCTCAGTCCCCTTCCCTGTTGACTGCAGGCTGCTGGGAAGATCCTGTGTGTTCTGAGTGTGTGTCGTGTGCATGAACCTGGTGGAGGCTGCAGAGACAGGTGTTCAAGTCCCATCTCCAGAGAGGTTCCTTCCTGCTCTTGGCTCCTGTGGCCACCAAAACAGGCTTGTGAGCAAGCAGAGCTCTGTTCGTAATAGGCCAGTGCCTTCTCTTGTCCTTCCTTCTACCTCCGTCCCTACCTCAGGGTGAAAGTAGGGGTGGACATGGACGGAGGGACAAGAGGAGAGGACGCTGGCCTACGGCGAGCCTGCTCACAAGCCCGGACGCCAGCTGTGTCCAGCACGTACCCACCCATTTACCCACCGTCCCAGAAGGAAAAGTCGACTCAGCTTAGTACAGGGGTCCTTGGACCTATCATGAGGTCAAAGTCCACTTCCCCTGGTGGCCTGGCCAGGACCGAGACCCCAAAGGGGGACACCTCAGGCAGTGGGCCTTGCTTTCCTATCTGTGGAGGGTGTGGTTGGATTCGATGTTTTCTGGCCCCTTCCTGAGCCGCAGCTCCGCAGGTCTGAAGGGGAGCTCCCTGCTGTTACTTCTCTCTGGAGTCTCCGCCTCACCAGGGATGAGCAGCACCAGCGCACTGGCCAATTAGCCAGTCCCTTCCTGGCTTGATTTGGGCAACTTCATTTCAGACCATTAATATCAACCCCATTCCTAGGGCAGAAGAACCACCACCTGGTGTGGGAATGTACGCTCAGCTGCAGTCTGCCTTGTGGCCTTTCAACCTGCTGTGGGGCTGTCATCTCAGCCCCGGGCCCTGGCGCAGCACCCCCCGTGTGACTGTGACCCCCAGGGAGATGCAGGACCGGAAAGTGAGTACTTCCTTCCTGGGCCTGGGCCTTCATCTGGGAAGTGTGGGGAGGGGAGGCTGCCCTGCCGAGCTCTAAGGGCGTCCTGGGATGATGGCCAGCCGCCTGCCGAGGGCCTGCTGCAGAGTCAGGCAGGCATGTCTAGTCCGGCGGTGTGTGTCCTTGTGTATTTTTTGCCTACTTGTATCTTGCTGTTTAGAATCATTTTGCACAGAATGTTTGGTTTGTCAGGAAGAGAAAATGGGTGAGAACTCACTCTTAAGTTCTTGTCTTGGCACCATTTAAAATTGACATTTCAGTTTTCAAATCACTGTTGGTGTCTCATCACTGAAGTTATTCGTTTTCCTTTAAGACTTGTTTTGTGTATTTACCGTGTGAGCAGACCCGGGGGTGACAGGAGTGTGCTAAGTGCCCGTCGTTTCTGCTGTGGCCACTGGACAGGCCTTGTGCTGGCAGGCGCCTTCGTGCCGAGGCGCTGGAGGACAGCAGTGAGCCGCGTGAGGAATGCGGCCGCGCTCACTCCACTCCCGCCTTGGGGCGAGCCTGAGCACCCAGCTGCCCTGTGCAGGCACAGACACACACTGTCAACAGGAAACCCGCCTTAGAATCATTTCTTCGATGACCCGGGAAGGCCACGGTGCCAGTCTGTTCATTTCATCTTAAACAGGAAATAGGTACCTTTCCTGGCTAAGAGAGAAAATGAATTCTCGTTATCACAGAATCTGTTTTCCTCATCTGTAAACTGGACATTGTGCCAATCCATCTTGCTTAGAAGGGAGTCTGGAGGTGGGTTCTGAGAGGGCCGCGTCTGTGTCCATGTCCACAGGTCCCTGAGGTCTGACATCCCACAACTCCCCTGTACCCACTGCACAAGTGGGCAGCCCTTGAGGTCCCTGGTGCTTTCTCACCTTCCATGTTCTCCCAAGTGGCACTGCAGGCATGGTGCTGGGTGACCCTGTGGTAAGGGCCGCTCCCAGGCCCCATACATGCTGCTCTCCTCTGCTTCAACTCCAGGATGGGGTGGGGCCCAGGAAAGGAGCTGGGTGCGGGCTTGAGCGGGAAACCTGTGGTGAGGGCTGCTCCTGCGTTTCTCTAGCTCCAGGACGGGATGGTGCCTGTGGGAAGGAGCTAGGGGTAGGCATGGTGGGTGCACCACGGCCCTGTGGTGAGGGCTGGTCCTGGGCCCTGCCACTGTGGCTACTCATGTGCTCCTCCCCAGCTCCTGGATGACATGGTGCCCACGGGAAGGAGATGGGTTTGGGTTCCAGAGAAGCAGGGGGGCTGCCTCCCAGCTAGCCCTGACCCATGCCAAATCCAGCTCTGGAGATGTGACAACCCCCTTTCAACCTCCCAGCTTCTCCGATCAAAGAAAGGAATGTGGCATCTGCAGCAGGTAAGTTTGCAGGCAGTGCAGATTTCTTGGGTCTGAAACATCTCTAGCTGTTTGGGTTCCAGGTGTACCTGAGAAGCGAGTCCCCTCCACAGTATTCTCAGCCCCCACCCCCGCCACCCTGTGTACCCTTCCTTTCTCTTCCATTACATCCTCTATGTCAGGCATCCCCAAACTACGGCCCGCGGGCCACATGCGGCCCCCTGAGGCCATTTATCCAGCCCGCCGCACTTCAGGAAGGGGCACCTCCTTCATTGGTGGTCAGTGAGAGGAGCACAGTATGTGCAACATGCGGCCCTCCAATGGTCTGAGGGACAGTGAACTGGCCCCCTGTGTAAAAAGCTTGGGGACACCTGCTCTAGGTCCTCCCAGCCTCGGCACTAGGCAAGTCCTTCAGCACACAGGACTCTCACTCTATGCTGTACCTCAAGTGATGGGGACAGGGGTGTGTCCTCACCTTACCAAGGAGGAACCTGGGCCCCTATCAGGGTGGCCAGATGTGGCGAGGAAATCGAGGGTACAGCAGCTTTCAAAGGCTTGAGAGAGACTGGTGTTATGCTGTTTGAGAACATGGGTCTGTCTCTGCATAAAAAAGGGGTTATAGCAGTGTCAAGGCACAAGGTCACTGGACCGCCCCTGCTCAGCCCTCAGGTGCTGCTCTGGTTGTCCATGGCGAGGACCCATCTTCTTCCTGGCCAAAGCCTTTGCTGTTCCAGTTGTTAAATATTTATTTTGATACCGCCCTTAACTGTAAAGGGTGGAGTCATTTAGGAGGTAGGACTATCCCCACTGACACTTGGCCACTCACATTTGTAAAACAGGACACTTACTATATAACTGCATAATTTATTGTTCAATGTCTGTTCCTCTGAAGTCTGTCTGAGCCACCAAGATATTCCCAGCACTGAGCAATGAATGAAGGCATGGGTTGATGGATTTTTTTTTTTTTTAAGACTCAAAAGAGAAGGGAAATATTGAACCAATGCTTGGCCTGGACTGGATGAATCTCCACCCAGAAGATCAAATCCAGGATCCTGGTGGGTCTGCTGTCTCACAGGTGAGGATGCTGCTGTCCTTGGAAGTGGCTTCTTGCAAGCCCTGTAGAGGGTGGACTTGGCCCAGACTCTGGGAGAGCCCAGTTCAGTCTTGGGCCCATCGCCAGTGACACTGCTGGTAAAAGAACACACCGACCTTCCTAGGGTACGAGGGAGGCGACATTGCAGACAGACAGCAGGAGGACACCTATGTGGGCAGTTCCCAGAGGGGCTGGGTGGCAGCACCTTGCAGGCTTAGCAGTGGTTGGGATGCTCTCCCGGCACACTCTCAAGTGTGCTAGTCCACACGCCTGGCCTGGTACCAGCTAGTGGGGCAATGATGTCACCGAGGATCTTGCAGTTCCCGCATTGGAGGGGAGGCACAGCAACCTCTGGGTGAGGTAGTGTGGCCCCTGGCTCAGGCCCCTGCCTGTTCAGCACCCTTCAGGGCAGCACCCACCTCACTGCAGCAGGGGTTCTCTGCTGTCAGCCTCTCAGGGAACAGGAAGTAGTTGACCAGGTTCACATCAAAGCTGGAGCCCCGGAGACCACGTAGCACCTTCACAGAGAGGGCAAGTCCCTGTGGGTCCCTGGTCCCAGGCCGTTCTCCCCCTTTTTGTTCACCTTCATTTGCCTCTGTACCCTGAACAGCCCAGGGATGCCTGGCAATGTGGGTGCTCAAAATTCACAGATGCATGACATTTATGGCGCATTAAGGCCCCAGTTTTAATGCAGCAGGTTGAATCACTAGAGAGAGAGATTTGGGCAGCGGAGGGGAGGGAGGAGAGGGAGAGGGAGGAGAGGGAGGGAGAGGGAGAGGGGGGAGAGGGAGGAGAGGGAGATGGAGAGGGAGGGAGAGGGAGAGGGGGGAGAGGGAGAGGGGGGAGAGGGAGGAGGGGGAGAGGGAGGAGAGGGAGGAGAGGGAGAGGGGGGAGAGGGAGGAGAGGGAGGAGAGGGAGGGAGAGGGAGAGGGGGAGAGGGAGAAGGGGGAGAGGGAGGAGAGGGGGGAGAGGGAGAGGGAGGAGAGGGAGGAGAGGGGAGAGAGGGAGGGAGAGAGAGGGAGGAGAGGGGGGAGAGGGAGGGAGAGAGAGGGAGGAGAGGGAGGGAGAGGGAGGAGAGGGAGGGGGGAGAAGGAGGAGAGGGAGAGGGAGGAGAGGGGAGGGGGAGAGGGGGGAGAGGGAGGAGAGGGAGAGGGAGGAGAGGGAGAGGGAGGAGAGGGAGAGGGGGGAGAGGGAAGCAGAGGGAGAGGGAGGAGAGGGAGAGGGAGGGAGAGGGAGAAGAGGGAGGAGAGGGAGAGGGAGGAGAGGGAGAGGGGGGAGAGGGAGGAGAGGGAGAGGGGGGAGAGGGAGGAGAGGGAGAGGGAAGGAGAGGGAGAGGGAAGGAGAGGGAGGGAGAGGGAGGAGAGGGAGGGAGAGGGAGAGGAGGGAGAGGGAGAGGAGGGAGAGGGAGGAGAGGGAGAGGGAGGAGAGGGAGAGGGAGGAGAGGGAGAGGGAGGAGAGGGAGAGGGAGGAGAGGGAGAGGGGGGAGAGGGAAGGAGAGGGAGAGGGAAGGAGAGGGAGAGGGAAGGAGAGGGAAAGGGAGGAGAGGGAGGAGAGAGAGGGAGAGTGAGGGAGAGGGGAGGGGGGAGAGGGGGGAGAGGGGGGAGGGGGAGAGGGAGAGGGAGGAGAGGGGAGGAGAGGGAGAGGGAGGAGAGGGAAGGAGAGGGAGAGGAAGGAGAGGGAGAGGGAGAAGAGGGGAGGAGAGGGAGAGGGAGGAGAGGGAGAGGGAGGAGAAGGAAGGAGAGGGAGGGAGGAGAGGGAGAGGGAGGGAGAGGGAGAGGGAGGAGAGGGAGGGAGAGGGAGAGGGAGGAGAGGGAGGGAGAGGGAGAGGGAGGAGAGGGAGGGAGGGGGGGGAGAGGGGGGAGAGGGAGAGGGGGGAGAGGGAGAGGGAGGAGAGGGAAGCAGAGGGAGAGGGAGGAGAGGGAGAGGGAGGAGAGGGAGAGGGAGGAGAGGGAGAGGGGGGAGAGGGAAGGAGAGGGAGAGGGAAGGAGAGGGAGAGGGAAGGAGAGGGAGAGGGAGGAGAGGGAGGAGAGAGAGGGAGAGTGAGGGAAAGGGGAGGGGGGAGAGGGGGGAGAGGGGGGGAGGGGGAGAGGGAGGAGAGGGGAGGAGAGGGAGAGGGAGGAGAGGGAAGGAGAGGGAGAGGAAGGAGAGGGAGAGGGAGGAGAGGGGAGGAGAGGGAGAGGGAGGAGAGGGAGAGGGAGGAGAAGGAAGGAGAGGGAGGGAGGAGAGGGAGAGGGAGGAGAGGGAGGGAGAGGGAGAGGGAGGAGAGGGAGGGAGAGGGAGAGGGAGGAGAGGGAGGGAGAGGGAGAGGGAGGAGAGGGAGGGAGGGGGGGAGAGGGGGGAGAGGGAGAGGGAGGAGAGGGAAGCAGAGGGAGAGGGAGGAGAGGGAGGAGAGGGAAGGAGAGGGAGAGGGAGGGAGAGGGGGGAGAGGGAGAGGGAGGGAAAGGGAGGAGAGGGAGAGGGAGGAGAGGGAGAAGGAGAGGGAGGAGAGAGAAGGAGAGGGAGGAAAGAGAGGGAGAGGGGGGAGAGGGGGGGAGAGGGAGAGGGAGGGAGAGGGGGGGAGGGAGAGGGAGGAGAGGGAGAGGGAGAGGGAGGAGAGGGAGAGGGAGAGTGAGGGAGGGGGGAGAGGGAGGAGAGGGAGAGGGAGGAGAGGGAGAGGGCAAAAACATTCACAACGGAAGAACATCAAATGCCATTTTCCCCAAAGAATGGAACTTCATACTCTTAGGAAAATAAAACAATTTCCCAAATTACTCTCAAGCTCCTAATGCTTCTGGAAATGTACATACTATGGCTCCCTGAACAAGGTCACAGCTCCCAGAGAGAAACCGGATGCATGCGCCTTAGTATAAGCATGTTCCAGAGCTTGTGTACAAAGGAACATATATCCACACCATAATGTGCTCATAGAACACAAGCTGTCACCAGCGCAGCATCACCTGCCGCCCAGGGCACAGCCTATCAGGGCCTTACTGGGAAGGCCAGTCTGGAAGAAGCACACTGTTAGGGCTGAAACTTTCTGCCCCCGCTCAAAATTCACACTGATCCCTAACTCCTGCAGGATGGTATCTGGAGGTGGGGACTTTGAGAGGTAAGGAGGTGCAGATGAGGTCATGAGGGTGGAACCCATGTGACGGGATTAGAAGAGGAAGAAAGAGAGGCCCTTTTCTCTCCATGTCTATTCCCAGGCAGGCCACGTGAGGGCACAGTGGGAGGGCGGCCGTGCTTCTCACTGTCCTCATCAGAATCTGACCATGCTGGCACCCTGGCCCTGGATCTCCAGCCTCCAGAACTGTGAGAGGTAAAGGTCTGTGTGTGGGCCTCCCAGAAGTCCGTACCTAACAAAGCAGCTCAAACCGACTACAACATGCCCCAGGAACCAGAGACCACGGTTCCACAGCGATGCTGGAACACTGCCCCAGGTACAAGAACTGCAGTTTGATCATCAACAAATCAGCAGTGCCTGGACTGGAGGTGCCAGGAAAAGTTGCCAAAGAACCCCACGTAGCAGCTAAGGAAGTGGAGACAGAACAGAGCCCAGGTGAAAACCAAGGGAGAGCTGTCAGCTGCTGGCTGGTGGGGGGCCCTGGAGGAAGCTGGTGGCCTCAGCCCTCGCTACCGTGCCTCCAGAGCAAAGGGCGCACCCCTGAAACCTGGCTGACACTGCCCATCAGTGGCCCTGTCGACGCAGGGATGTGGCAGGCTCCAGTGGTTCAGCAATGGGACCAGGAGCAACGAGGGTCACCAGGCAGCCCATCACCCACTGCAGCCGAGAATGAGGCCAAGGGTCCGGCTCGCCCTTCCCTCCCTCTCACCTGCTCTCGACCTGCTCTCCTGGCAGAGCAAATCTCTACACTCTGGTCCCCAAGAAAGCCTCCCATGGCCAAGCTGGCCCAGAGTTTCCTATGCCCCAAGAGACACTGTGCCAGGAGGAGGGTAGGGCGGGGCCTGGGAAGAACAATGCCAGCTGAGAGCCACAGTCAGGGTGGCTGGAGGCAGCTAATGTTTGCTGAGCTCTTTCTGGGTGCCAAGAAGGTGTGAAAAGAGCATGACATAAAACACCTCCTCTCACTCCACAGAACCCTCCCTGCAGCAGGCTCCGGCTCCACCACTTCCTGGAAAAGGAACAGCTCAGAGGTAAGCAGCATGCCCACACTCCAGGAAGGAATTAGAACTTGGCCCAGACAAGCTGAGAACCCAAGCTTTGTTTGCAAATGTTTATGAAGGGCCCAGGAAGGCCTAGCCCTCGACGTGGGCACTAGCCTTGCCCCTGCAGCTTCTGTCTGGTGTTCAGTGGAGCTGAGAACCCCACCCATCCTGTCTTCACCCCTGGGCTGGGCACCTCCCTCTCCATAGCACCCCTTGCAAACTATGCCAACAGGGTCTGGCCTCTCCAACTGTTCTCCAGCTGTTTGTTTATTTTTTGAGACGGAGTTTCACTCTGTTGCCCAGGCTGGAGTGCAGAGTGCAATGGCAAGATCTCCGCTCACTGCAACCTCTGCCTCCCAGGTTCAAGCAATTCTCCTGCCTCAGCCTCCCAAGTAGCTGGGATTACAGGCACGTGCCACCGTGACAGGCTAATTTTTGTATTTTTAGTGGAGACGGGGCTTCAGCATATTGGCCAGGCTGGTCTCGAACTCCTGACCTCAAGTGATCCCCTGCCTTGGCCTCCAAAAGTGTTGGGATTACAGGCACCAGCCACCACGCCCAGCCTGTTCTCCAACTCACTAATCATCAACTGATTAAAGACCTTGGTTCGCCGGGCGCGGTGGCTCACGCCTGTAATCCCACCACTTTGGGAGGTGGAGGCGGGTGGATCACGAGGTCAAGACCATCCTGGTCACCATGGTGAAACCCCGTCTCTACTAAAAATACCAAAAAAAAATTAGCTGGGCATGGTGGCGCATGCCTGTAATCCCAGCTACTCAGGAGGCTGAGGCAGGAGAATTGCCTGAACCCAGGAGGCGGAGGTTGCGGTGAGCCGAGATCGCGCCATTGCACTCCACCCTGGGTAACAAGAGCGAACCTCCGTCCCAAAAAAAAAAAAAAAAAAAAGACCTTGGTTCTCCTCTGCCCGAGCCTCACCACCTCTCAGCCTCAAGCCTGCACCGGTGGGGCCTCCCTGCTCCAGAGCCTTCCTGCAGCTCCCGTTTGGACTGCTGCCTGCGTTCTTCCTATGGAGGGGCCTCTGGGATCCCAGGCAGAGAACGGGTATTGGAGGTCAGTGCCTGGCTGGCTCTTGGGAAACAAAACATCCCAACTGGATCATCCACTATGCTTCCGAGACTGAGCCGAGGGGGTGCTGAGCAGCACATGGTGCAAGGCTCCAAGGAGACAGACAGGCAACCACGTGGGGAGTCAGCCAGCAGCACTGGTGATCTAACTGTGAAGTTAATTCAGCTAAACAAAGGAACGCCAGCCACCAGCCCTCAGAACCCAGGCCTGGAAAGAAACGGTGCCTGCAGGATCCTTTAATCCGGTTATTTTGGGGAGGCTGAGGAGGGCGTTCTCCTGGGCAGCACCTGCGGCTCATGGCCCCCAGATGTGCTTGGGCCAGGACAGTGGGAAGACGGGGCACCTGCTGGCCACCATTGACCATCAGAGGGCCACCGGGAATGCAGCCCAAAGTCACTCTTCCCCAAAGAACACAGCCCTGGAGCCGTGGGATGCAGCTGAAAAGGGTGATGAGATTACAGGAGCCACAGTGGGGGGCTGGGGCAGCTGACCCTGAACAGGGCTCACACCTGTGCCTCTCCTTGATGTCAGACTTGCCCAGGCTGAGCAGGTAGCAATGGGCTACCTCCCTGGAGGCCCAGCAGTGACCCAGGCCGACAGAGGCAGCTTTCCCCTTGACACCAAATGCCAGGGAAGCCAGAAACAGCTCCACCCCCTTGACATACTCCCAGCAGGAGCGGCAGGCGATGGGGTGGTGTGCAGAGCTTAAATGGACATCTCCTCCTCCTTGTGATCCTTCCTGCCTCCAGGTATTGCAGGGACAAGAGGAGGGGTGGACATGTCCTACTGGCTCACAAAGGAGGAAGGGAACCAAAGAGTAACACACCCAAGGTGCACACAGGGGACCCCTGGCCTCACCTGCATCCTGGCTTAGCTACTTAGTGGCTGTGTGACTGAGGGAAGACACTCAACCTGAGTCGCAGTTTCCTCATCTGTACATGGGAGATCGCCTCTGACCCCACAGAGCTGTCATGAGGCACAGTTTCTTTCTCCCTTTGGGAACCTGACACTCCGTGTCATGTACCAAACTGAGAGATGCGCAGAAGAGAAAAGCTCAGGCCCCGCCCTGGCTGCAAACTCTGAGAGGAAGCAGCCTGCAGCTCCTGCCCTCTTTCCTGGCTGGTGACGTCAGGGGAGCTCTCCTGTCACCTCTGACACATGGCGACATGCAGGCAGGTCACCACCCTTTACTTCCATAAAGTCCCTCGAAGGCTGTGCAACCTGTCCAGTCTCAACACCCAGTGGAGGGGCCATGGACTACGCATCATTGCCCTCAGAGCAGGGAAACCCAGGGAAGCAAAAGGGTGTCCCCAAATCAGTACACTGGTAAGCAGTAAGGGAGAGTGGAACCTGGCAGGGCTTTGTCCATCTGGCGTCCTTCTTTCTGCATAAAGGACTGCAAACTCACTGGGCAGTGCCAGGGGATACTGAGGACAACGTCTAGGCTTGGAGTGGCCAGCTGATTCGCAGCATCTGCCTCAGGAACGGCAGGGCGGGGCACAGCACGGTATCTGTCTATCATCCTGGCTTAGCCACCATTAAGCCACCTCCCTTGACGGGCCTCAGACAGAAAGCCCTGAACAAGGGGGTGCCGGTCAGACTCGCAGTGCCGTTTCCTAGCGTCATTAGTCCTCCACCTTGCTTTGCAGTTGAGGCACCCATGTGACCCCTCCTCAATGAGCAAATGCCCCTCCACCAGGGCGAGGCGCTGGCGAGGGTGCAGACGCAGGCCCCTCCCTTTGTGAGGCTCCCAGCCCTTCTTAAATTACACTTCCTCCTCGGTGGTCCCGAGACCTGGCCTGAGTCATCATGGAAGGAGGCCGCAATGGGGACCGATGCAGGAATGAGGGCCTGACTGCCAACTTCTAGGCAACATCTCCATTTTCCTCAATTCCCCAAGGCGGTGGATTCCAATGATCTGAGTGGTAAGAAGGTCCTTCCTTCTCTCCAGCAATGATAAATGGCAGCTGGAGACGCAGGTAGCAGACTCGGCACAGGAGAAGCCATGGGAAAAAGGACCCCACACTCGCTGCCCAGGAGGTCAGAGCGCTCATGGAAGAATGTCAGTAAAAGGGAAAGAGCAGGCGTCTCAGGAGGGGAGAGCAAGCCCGGCGGGAAGCCACGCAGCACACGGAGGCTTAGGAGAAGCAAATCCAACATCCACTGAGATCTGTGCGGCTGCCCACAGGTTTGTCACAGGCTTGCTCTCCTGTGGCCCTGAGCCAGGGAAGAGAACCAGGGGCAGGGCCCCGCTGATGCTTCAAGAAGCAAGATCTGATCCCCCACCTCTCCCAGGCCCCAGTCATGGGCTGATCAGCTGGGGAACACCTGCACTGCTCAACACCTCCCCTGGAAGGCGCCAGGGACCCACTTCTGCCTTCGATGAGCTCAGAGTGCCAAGGAGCCATCACGGATGGCCAGGACTGCCACTAAATCATGTCCATTTGAGAGCCCAGGTGCCCGATGAGGTGGGGCCATGTTCCCATCCTGCTGCAAAGACGAGGAATGGGCCCAGTTGGGAGAAGCTGTAGGCCACCCAGTGGGTTGGTCCTCACAATGCTGGCACGGACCCCGCGTCTGCCCAGCTCCAGGGCTTGGATAAGCCTGGAGAATGGAGAGGACAGCTCCCCCCTTCTCCATGCCCTTCTTGGGCCAGGCCCACCAGGAGAAACTGGACCAAGCCCCTCACTAAAGGTCAAAAGACTCTGGGCACTCAGGGTACCATTCCCAAAGAAGTGTGTGGTAGACGAGGCTGAAAGCCGTCTGCCTGATGGCTCTGGGCAGGAACAGGAAAAAAACCCCATGTGCTGGGCAGGTCTGTCCTGGGGGTACCCTGAGGACAGGTCCTGTGTCCTTGGCACACTGCCAACCACCTGGCACAGAAACCAAAAGAAAGAGGAGGAGGTGGTTCTCAGAGGCAACTACAGTCGGTTCGTGCCCAGCCTGTGTCCTGCCTGGGCCAGACAGTTCCTGTCACTGCATGAGACCCCTTAGGCCGTGGGTCAGTTCCCCTCGCCTCAGTGCTGCCTCTGACAAGAGCTGTTCCCACTGGACACCGGCTGCCCAGCTTGCACCCCTCAGCTGTTCTCAGTAGCTGCTGCCCACCTGGGAAGGCACCTGCCTCGCTGTGTGCCAGGCCCCACCCAGGAAGGCTCAGAGCGGCACAGACACAGGCCACGTCTGCCCATTGATGACGTACACACAGAGTACGTCAGTGACGTAGGGAAGAAGGAACACCTTCCCGGAGGAAGATGTAAAGTCTCACGTCACAGACACAAACTGTGAACCCCACTTTCTTCCCCCTCTCAAATCCTTAAATCCAATCTTAACCGTTTTTTAATGAAAGCACTCAGGAGGAAGGAGGAGGATTCCTGGCAGACAAAATGCCACCCCCCTACTCACCTCCTCCGCACAGGTCTCCTTGGCTGGGGACCCTGAGCTGGCAAGAGTGTAGGAGATAAAAAAGGGTTCCCTGGACATAACCCACCATGACAGAGAAGGAAAGAGGTGGCTGAGTGAGGCACGGTGACGGACGCCGACTGAAGGACATGGTGTGTGAGGAGTCACCCCTGCAACTGCACCCTGACGCCTTCCACACAGGACTGGGCGTGCTGCCAAGCTCACCAATCCCAAAAGGCAAGGTCTGCTGACGACCAGATCGAGGGTGCCCTGCCTGTCCCCAGCTCAGCAGGCTGGGCAAACCCAAGCCATCCCCCACCACACTCACCTCCCCCTTCTTCACCGTCATGGACTGCCGTCGGGGTGTGATCTCCTCGTTGATGCTGGATAGGAAGTTCTGTGAGATGCAGAGGGCGTCCTGCAGCAAGGGGTGGTCGGGGTGGCTGGTGGGAGTGTGCTTCAGCAAGTCCTGCCCGGGAAGACAGACGAGTTAGACACAAAGGGGCCCTGGCACCGACCACTGTGTGCAAAGTGCAGACACAAGGTGCAGACACGAGGTGCAGACGGAGCCCAGAGTGCTGGCTCCCTCGGTGTCGCCACTGCCTCGTGTCACCACTGCCTCGTGTCACCACCGCCTCTCTTACTTGGGCCGGCTGTGCAGGCATCTCTCACCTGGGCCACACTTAGGTGAGCAACATCCCAGAAGCAGGTTCTGGATGTGCTCCAGCAAACCCAGCCGCATGCACATGGTCAAGAGGGGCTCCTCTGTAAGGCTCTCGGGTAGGGTTTCTCGACCTCAGCACTGCTGACATTTTGCGTGGAGTAATTCTTTGTTGGGGGGCAAGAGAGCTGTCCCTTGCACTACAGAATATCCAACACCACCCCAGGCCTCTACCCATTAGATGTCAGCAGCACCCCTTGGCTGCAGCTACGACAACCAAAAGAAATGTCGCGGAACACTGGTGCCGCGTGGGCCCTACAGAGCCCCGGTGCTGCGCTCACCCTAGGGGGCAGTTTTGGTCCCAGTCAGGAGGGGTGCTGTGACTCACATGGAGGACCAGTGTGCTCCTCGTCACATGATCCACAGGCTTGTAGAGCACAGCTGCGGAGAGAGGAGTGGTGAGAGAGGCCACATGTGGAGACGCACACCAGCTGACTGAACACCCTCAGTGCAAGGGTGAGTGGGGAGGGGGCTGCCCCAGCCTCCACAGGCACCATCTCCCCTCTGCGCAGTGACAAGGGCAAGGCTACAGCACCCACCTGGAACACTTTGAGCTTTAAGCCCTGGACATTCATTGCATGTGGAGTGCAGAGCAGCTCGTCAGACTCGGGCCTGCACGGCTGGCTGGCTCGGTGACAACAGCTAATAGTGTTCAGCATTGCCACTCCTGGGGTCAGGGAGCCCACCCTGGCAAAGATGGGCTAGGGAGGGCCCCAACTCTGGAGGGAGACCTGCTCTCCAGCCCAGAGGGTACACTGAGAGCAGACCTCTTGGCTGTCCTTAGCATCAATCCCGGGATGTTTCAGATGTCTGACTCTGAGACAGGCAGGAACCTACTCAGATGCTGAAACAACTCTTGGTTTGACAGGTTCTCTGGCGACTGCAGAGCACTATAAATTTTTAAGTCTTCACAGACACAGAGATCATCTGTTACATTTATTTTGGAACAGATCATAACTGTCCCTCCCCCTCAACATACCCATTGTTTAAGCCCACTTTCTTATGATCATGTTGTTTCACAGCAAAAGACTGAGGTCATAGTGCTAAAAGATTTCTGAGTTGGTAGGAGAACCCCAGGGGGGTTCTTTACCTTGCAGCTAGTCTATTCAATACTAACAATTCCAACCACCAGGAGGAATTTCCCTGCCTAGGCTTATTTTGTTGGCACATCACAGCACAAAAAAAAAAATCTCCCGGGGCGGGGCGCGGCGGCTCATGCCTGTAATCACTTTGAGAGGCCAAGGCGGCAGATCACCTGAGGTCAGGAGTTCGAGACAACCGTAACCAACAAGGAGAAACCCGTATCTACTAAAAATACAAAATTAGCTGGGGTAGCGTATACCTCTAATCCCAGCTACTAGGAAGGCTGAGGCAGGAGAATCACTTGAACCCGGAAGGCAGAGGCTGCAGTGAGCTGAGATCGTGTCACTGCACTCCAGCCTGGGTAACAAGGGCAAAACTCACACATGCAAAAACAATCTCCTGACATTTTATATCCAATAAGAAAAGATTTAACAATGGTCACAATAGGAACATCTTTAATGCCAGGCAAACGTTAACAGCTTTCTCAGTGGATTTCTCAGTAGACTATGACAAACGACCTCAAAGTAAACTCGTATTTACTCTTGAAAATTAATCTATATTTGAATCTTCTTAACAGCAAAAGCCCCAGGAACTTTTTCCTAAACTCCCTAACAACAGCAGCAAAACACCAGATTCTCGGCTCTCTTTATTTTTAAAAATCACAATAAAATAACCCTGTATTTATTTGCTATTTACAATCACCATATATCACCATTTACTATTATCATCATTTCATAAAAGACGCTTTAACACCAAGAAAGCAGGACTTTTTTTTTTTTAGAAAGGATAGTCCTTTAATTGAATAAATTTAATTCTATGAAAAGACTCCTAATATGGTCCTTTCCTTCTTTTTATGCTAAAGCCCACACAATACTCCATTCTAGAGGACTGACCACAGTGTCTCCGATTCATTCTCACCAACTACAAAGTCACCAACCCTCCGCACTCCCATCTTTGAGGAGGGACTGCAAAACAGGGTCATTGAACTGGTGAGAAGACGAAGTTCCATCGTCAGGTGGGATAATCCTTACCTATTCCTCCTTTGGAGAACAGATAAAATATGATAATTGGAGATGCATGAAATGTTTAAAATTTAATTAGAAGAAAAAAAAAAGCCGGGCATGGTGGCTCAAGCCTGTAATCCCAGCACTTTGGGAGGCCGAGGCGGGTGGATCACAAGGTCGAGAGATCGAGACCATCCAGGTCAACATGGTGAAACCCCGTCTCTACTAAAGATACAAAAAATTGGCATGGTGGCACGTGCCTGTAATCCCAGCTACTCAGGAGGCTGAGGCGGGAGAATTGCTTGAACCCAGGAGGCGGAGGTTGCGGTGAGCTGAGATCGCGCCATTGCACTCCAGCCTGGGTAACAAGAGCGAAACTCCGTCTCAAAAAAAAAAAAAAAAAGAGAGAGAGAGAGAGAGAGAGAGAGAGAGAGACAGAGAAGACGCAGCTCCACCCACAGCTGAAGAAGACTCTACAGGCCAGGACCTGCTGAATGTTAACATTAGCACCTCAAGTTTCTTTCCATCCCTCCAAACTTCACAGGTGGGGAAATGAAGATTCAGAAAGCAAAGCTGACTTGCCCAAAGCCATAAGGCCAAGAACATTTCTCCAGCCTCCTGACAGCCACTCCCTTACTGTTCCCTTACTGAATGAGCTCAGCAGTTTTCATAATATCAGAGGTTAGTCATGTGATTTACATCTGTATACGATAGCAATTTTGATATTATCACTTAAGTCATTCAAAATATCAGATGTATTGTGTCAAGTCAATTATAGAGAACCACTGCTTCAGAGAAATCCCATCTGAAGAGGACACACTGCGGATACACCCCCAAAAGTTCATGTTTGAAACCGAAATTTTGATACAAACTTCACTTTAACTGTAATTGTAATTATTACAGTTATTCTCCACTCACTAGACACTGTACTTGACACATATTTGGTCTGCTACCAAAGTGTACCAGTGATAAAGCTTTCCTATGGCACAACATTCACTTTCTTTTTTTTTTTTTTTTTTTTTTTTTTTTTTTTGAGACGGAGTTTCGCCCTTGTTACCCAGGCTGGAGTGCAATGGCACGATCTCGGCTCACCGCAACCTCCGCCTCCTGGGCTCAGGCAATTCTCCTGCCTCAGCCTCCTGAGTAGCTGGGATTACAGGCACGCGCCACCATGCCCAGCTAATTTTTTGCACTTTTGGTAGAGACGGGGTTTCACCATGTTGACCAGGATGGTCTCGATCTCTCGACCTCGTGATCCACCCGCCTCGGCCTCCCAAAGTGCTGGGATTACAGGCTTGAGCCACCGCGCCCGGCACAACATTCACTTTCTTACTGAAAATGTCAAGAACACCCCTACACACCTGCAACCATTACAAAGCACTCTCCACCTATCTAAAAAGTCACTGAGTCTGCTCAGCGACTCTGCATGGTGTACACTAAATCAAAGGGGAAAATATGTTTTTATGGAGGAAAACATACTGGATCAGCCATTTATTTATAGAAACAATTTTACCCAGAAGAACACTCTACTCCTTCCACTATATAATGGTTTGGTTATTTTATAATGTATTTATATTATTTGTTTTGTTTTGTTTTGTTTTGTTTTTGAGACGGAGTTTCGCTCTTGTTACCCAGGCTGGAGTGCAATGGCGTGATCTCAGCTCACAGCAACCTCCACCTCCTGGGTTCAGGCAATTCTCCTGCCTCAGCCTCCTGAGTAGCTGGGATTACAGGCACGCGCCACCATGCCAAGCTAATTTTTTGTATTTTTAGTAGAGACGGGGTTTCACCATGTTGACAAGGATGGTATCGATCTCTTGACGTGATCCACCCGCCTTGGCTTCCCAAAGTGCTGGGATTACAGGCTTGAGCCACCGCGCCCGGCCACACGTATTTATATTGCTATGCCTGGTTTTGTTTTTTTGAAACACAGTCCGCTTCATCCCTCAAGCTGGAGTGTAGTGGCTGGATCTCTGGTCACTGAAACCTCCGCATCCCTGGTTCAAGCGATTCTCCTTCCTCAGCCTCCCGAGCCGCTGGGATCTCAAGTGCGCCACCACCACCACACCCGGCTGATTTTTTATTGGTAATAAAGACGGGGTTTCACAATGTTGGCCAAGCTGGTCTCGAACTCCCGACCTCAGGTGATCCACCCACCTCGGCAAAGTGCTGAGATTACAGGCGTGAGCCACTGCACTCAGCCTTGTTATGTGTGTTTTTTTGTTGTTGCTGCTTTAGGTTTTTTGTTTGTTTTTTTTTTTTTTTGAGACGGAGAATGCTGTCACCCAGGCTTAAGTGGAGTGCAGTGACAATCTCAGTTCACTGCAACCTCCGCCTCCCGGGTTCAAGCGATTCTCTTGCCTCAGCCTCCTGAGTAGCTGGGATGACACGCGGGTGACACTACGCCCACCCGATTTTTGTATTAGCTGGTCTCGAACTCCTGATCTCAGGTGATCCGCTGGTCTCCGCCTCCCAAAGTGCTGGGATTACAGGCGCGAGCCACTGCGCCTGGCCTGGTTTTTAGTTACTAAAAAACTACTATACTCCCTTTGGCATCACCTACAGTCACAAAACTGCAGTCGCCCTCCCCTCCCCCGAAGCCACCAGAAATGACTGCTCTCGTCCACAAAGCCTACGGCTCTGGTTTCATCTCAAGACGTGTCCTATCGGGTGACAGCAAATGTCATGTTTTAAAGGCTCGTACCTGTTATAAACCTGGGAAGTATTATAATGGCGTAAAAGGCTCTTTTGACAAAAGAAAACACTGTCCCCTGTAATCACCCGGGCAGCAGTCACGAGAATCTTTTCCTGGCCCTTCCCGTACTTCAGACAAATGACCAAGGACATCAACAAATCCAGCCCCTGCACCTGAATGACCACAGAATTTCTGCGTGTTCTGTAAATGGGGTAAAACTACTGGAAACCGATTTCTTTTCGTCATCCCCAGGGCAGCACGCCCAACTTGCCAGGACTACGATGCCGCAGATTTAACTACTTAAGCTGATACAATTACCAAGTTCCTGGAAATGCAAAATTTCCTCAGCAAAGCACCAGATTATTCACACCCAACCTGACGCAAGGAGCCAGGTCTCGAGAAGAAAAGACGCTCCGTCGTCCCGGGGCGCCGGCCCCGGCAGCAGCAGCACCCGCAGCAGGCCCTGGGGCCGCCGCCCGTGGCCTCCGCTCCGCGCGCCGCGCCCTCGGGGCCACGGAGCAATGCCGTCCCCGCCCGAGGCAGGGAACCGGGACGACGGGGCAGCAGCCCCGGCCTGTCCCGGAGCGCCGGAAAGGCCAGCACGAGGGTCGCGCCCGGCCTGTCCACACACCGACGAGCCGCAGGCGGGGTCCCAGAACCAGCTCAACCCCGGCACCGACGGACGGAGGCCCGCGGGTCTCCGCGGCGAAGCCTGCGGGTTGTCCCAGGAGCCTCGGAGCTCGGAATCCGGACTGCGCGGGAAGGGGAAGACGCAGGCGCGGGACAGACCGGAGGGGCCCGGGAGGGGGACGGCGCAGGCGCGGGACCTGCCGGGGTCTGCGGGGACGCCTGAGCCCGGCCGCGCGGGCGGCTCTGAGGCGATAAACCGACCCGCGGGGGAACACTGCGGGAACGCGGCCCTGGCTCTTACCGCGCGGCGCCGCATCGCTCCCTCGCAGGCTCGTGGCTGGGGCCGGGCGGAGCTCACCTAGTGGCTCAGCCGGGACCTGTTGAGTCCGGCCTCAGGATAGCAGCCAACCCCGCGGCGCCGCTTGCCGGGACCGCCTAGCCTCCCGCGCAGGCGCCGTGCGGACCCCGCCCACATTTCCTCATGGCGCAGGCGCCGCAGCCCCGCCTCTCTAGCTGGCGTCGCTCCCGACACTGGGTCGCGCAGGCGCCCTACCACTTACCTGGTCAAGAAAAAAAAAAATACCCGGGCAGCCAATGCGCACGCGTCATGACTGGTGCCGGAGCCTAGCAAGGCGGGTCCCTTTAGAGGCCCCATTGGGCCCTGCGTAATGTTGCGGAGTGCGCTAGATCCAAAACTGTCCTCAGCGTGCTTACAGTGTGCCAAGGACGGTGCTAGGCATGAGCCAGACAGTGGTGAGAAAAACACAAAGGCCTGCCTCCTGCCGCTCCGGACGCACAAGGGAACACAGACAAAAAGAATAAGCGAGCAACCTATCTATATATAATATTAAAGAAATTCGGGTGTGAGTCCGTCCTGAGGGGCTGTTCTTTTGAGCAGTCGTCGTTTGTCTCCGTCCGCCTTCTCTTCCACCTAAGTGCGTGTCGCCACCCGATGGAAGATTCGATGGACATGGACATGAGCCCCCTGAGGCCCCAGAACTATCTTTTCGGTTGTGAACTAAAGGCCGACAAAGATTATCACTTTATGGTGGATAATGATGAAAATGAGCACCAGTTATCTTTAAGAACGGTCAGTTTAGGGGCTGGTGCAAAGGATGAGTTGCACATTGTTGAAGCAGAGGCAATGAATTACGAAGGCAGTCCAATTAAAGTAACACTGGCGACTTTGAAAATGTCTGTGCAGCCAACGGTTTCCCTTGGGGGCTTTGAAATAACACCACCAGTGGTCTTACGATTAAAGTGTGGTTCAGGGCCAGTGCATATCAGTGGACAGCACTTAGTAGCTGTGGAGGAAGATGCAGAGTCAGAAGATGAGGAGGAGGAGGATGTGAAACTCTTAAGTATGTCTGGAAAGCGATCTGCCCCTGGAGGTGGTAGCAAGGTTCCACAGAAAAAAGTAAAACTTGCTGCTGATGAAGATGATGATGATGAAGAAGATGATGATGATGATGAAGATGATGATGATGATTTCGATGATGAGGAAACTGAAGAAAAAGTGCCAGTGAAGAAATCTATACGCGATACTCCAGCCAAAAATGCACAAAAGTCAAATCAGAATGGAAAAGACTCAAAACCATCATCAACACCAAGATCAAAAGGACAAGAATCCTTCAAAAAACAGGAAAAAACTCCTAAAACACCAAAAGGACCTAGTTCTGTAGAGGACATTAAAGCAAAAATGCAAGCAAGTATAGGAAAAGGTGGTTCTCTTCCCAAAGTGGAAGCCAAGTTCATCAATTATGTGAAGAATTGCTTCCGGATGACTGACCAGGAGGCTATTCAAGATCTCTGGCAGTGGAGGAAGTCTCTTTAAGAAAATAGTTTAAACAATTTGTTAAAAATTTTCCGTCTTATTTCATTTCTGTAACAGTTGCTATCTGGCTGTCCTTTTTATAATGCAGAGTGAGAATTTTCCCTACCGTGTTTGATAAATGTTGTCCAGATACCATTGCCAAGAATGTGTTGTCCAAAATGCCTGTAGTTTTTAAAGATGGAACTCCACCCTTTGCTTGGTTTTAAGTATGTGTGGAATGTTATGATAGGACACAGTAGTGGTGGTCAGACATGGAAATGGTGGGGAGACAAAAATATACATGTGAAATAAAACTCAGTATTTTAATAAAGAAAAAAAAAAGAAATTCTATTATCTGGCACATGAACAGGTTGCAATGATCATACAGGTTTTTTCCTTTGATAGTTTGTGCTACTTTAATAGTTTTTTATTACATCACCTTAGTTTCCTAGGAAAACCATAACTTGGTCGTTATACATGTTTAATACGTTGCTGGATTATTTGCTAATATTTTATTTAGCATTTCTGCATATTTGTCCATAAGAAGTTGGTCTATACTTTTGCCTCCTTGTACTTACTATTCATGTCTGGTTTGGTATTAAGCTTATACTAAATTCACAGTGAGTTGGGGAGAATTCCGTTTCCTTCTTTTTCTGAAAGATTATGTAGGCCTGGCGCGGTGGCTCACACCCGTAATCCTTAGCACTTTGGAAGGCCGAAGCAGGTGATTACCTGAGGTCGGGAGTTCAAGACCAGCCTGGCCAACATGGTGAAACCCTGTCTCTACTAAAATTGCAAAAAATTAGCCGGGTGCAGTGGCGTCCACCTGTAATCCCAGGAGAATCACTTGAACCTGGGAGGTGGAGGTTACGGTGAGCTGAGATTACGCCATTTCACTCCAGCCTGGGCTACAGAGAGACTTCATCTCAAAAAAAAAAAAAAAAAAAAAAAAATTATGTGCAAGGTAAAGACTCTGTTCTTTGCACCATTTGCTGGACTTGTCTTATAAAATCATCTGGGCCAGGTGTTTTTATTTGGTTTTGTTTTTTGTGAGATTTTTGAGGGGATGGGGTACAGATGATTTTAAAATAAATGTTCAATTTCTTTCCTTCTTCTTTTTTTTTTTTTTTTTTGAGACGGAGTTTCGCTCTTGTTACCCACGCCGGAGTACAATGGCAGGATCTCGGCTCACTGCAATTTCTGTCTCCCGGGTTGGAGCAATTCTCCTGCCTCAACCTCCTGAGTAGCTGGCATTACAGGCATGTGCCACCACGCCTGGCTAATTTTGTATTTTTAGTAGAGACGGGGTTTCTCCGTGTTGATCAAGCTGGTCTCGAACTCCCGACTTCAGGTGATCCACCCGTCTCTGCCTTCCAAAGTGCTGAGATTACAGGCATGAGCCACCTCGCCCAGCCTCAATTTATTTAATGGTTCCAGATGTTGACTTTTCTGTTTCTTTTTAGTTCATTTTTATGAAGTTATATTTTTCTTTTGAAACAGAGTTTCTCTGTTGCCCAGGCTAGATTGCAGTGACTTGATCTCGGCTTTCTGCAACCTCTGCCTCCCAGGTTCAAGTGATTTTCCCATCTCAGCCTCCTGAGTAGCTGGGATCACAGGCATGGGTCTCCAGGCCTGGCTAATTTTTGTGCTTTTAGTAGAGTTGGCATTTTATCATGTTGGCCAGGCTGGACTCGAACTCCTGTCCTCGGATGATCCACCCGCCTTGGCCTCCCAAAGAGCTGGGATTACAGGCGTGAGCCATCCCACCCAGACTGAAGTTGTATTTTTTAATAAAATGGTCTATTTTGAGATTTTCACAAAGAGCTGGCATAAAGTTGTTTATGTAATTTCATTATGATTTTTGTCTTAACATTATTTTTATTTTTTTACTTTTTTGAGACTGAGTCTTGCTCTGTTGCCCAGGCTGGAGTCCAGTGGCCTGATCTCGGCTCACTACAACCTCCGCCTCCTGAGTTTAAGGGAATCTTGTGCCTCAGCCTCCCGAGCAGCTGGGATTACAGGTGCCTGCCACCTTGCCAGCTAATTTTTGTATGTTTGGTAGAGACAGAGTTTCACCATGTTGGCCAGGCTGGTCTCAAGCTCCTGACCTCCAGTGATCCGCCAGTCTCGGCCTCCCAAAGTGCTGGGATCACAGGCGAGAGCCACCACACCCAGCCCATTTATTTCCGAACAAACAATACATTTGTGAAACCCCATCTCTACTAAAAACACCAAATTCCCAGGCATGGTGGTGTACCCTTTAATCCCAGGTACTCAGCAGGCCAAGACAGGAGAATCGCTGGAACCCGGGAGGCAGAGGTTACAAGGACCTGAGATCATGCCATTGCACTCCAGCCTGGGCAACAAGAGCGAAACTTTGTCTCAAAAAAACAAAAATGAAAAACCAGAATAGCCAGCAACCCATAACAGCACCCATTTTGCAGAGGAGAAACCTGGGATGCAAAGACACAGCTAGTGAATGATGGAATCAGGATTCAAATTCAGGCTGCCTAGTTATGAGGACCATATTCAGAGAATTAAAGGAAACTGTTTTGTTATTTTTTTTCTTCAACTTTTAAGTTCCAGGGTGCGTGTGCAGGATGTGCAGGTTCTTCACATAGATAAACGTGTACCATGGTGGTTTGCTGCACAGACCAACCCATCACTTAGGTATTTAGCCCAGCTGTCCTTCCTGATGCTTTCCCTCCCCCGAGTCCCGCCCCTCGACAAGCCCCAGCGTGTGTTGTTTCCCTGAAATGTGTCCATGTGTTTTCATCGTTCAGCTCCCACTTATAAGTGAAAACAGGCAGTGTTTAGTTTTCTGAGCTGGGATCACAGGCACGCGCCACCATGCCCAGCTGATTTTTTGTATTTTTAGTAGAGACGGGGTTTCACCATGTTGACCAGGATGGTCTCGATCTTTTGACCTTGTGATCCACCCGCCTCGGCCTCCGAAAGTGCTGGGATTACAGGCTTGAGCCACCGCGCCTGGCCTCATTCTTAAGCCTTTGCAGACTGGAATACTGGTGTCATTCTTAAGCCTTTGCAGACTGGAATACTCCGGGCCTATTTCAGAATGGTTACTCTTTTTCTCCCCCTGCTGGAGGCACAGGGGTATTTTTCTCTTATCTTCCCCCTGAGATCGTGAGAGTGGAGGTGTTCCTGGAGATTACACGTATGAAGATGTGAGGATCCCCATAACACAGGCCCTCTCCTCAAGCTGGCGCTCACTGAGCCTCCCACAAGTCACCAAAGACCGTTTGGAGTTTGCCTGCCCAGGCGCTGGCTCCCACACGGGCCTCTGCTCAGCTGAGCTGTGATTCTCCGCATCTGCTGTCTTTCCAATTTACAGAGCAGTGGTTCAGCTGTGATCTCACTTCTCTGATGGGTCTAAGAAGAGGGGTGGATTTCCCGTTTGTTCAGCTTTGTTGTTGTTGTAAGAATGGGAGTGATGACCTCAAAGCTCTGTACATATTAGCCTGCAAACTGGAAGTGTTTTAGTCCCTTAGAATTAAAATCTATCTAGCATTAGGTTGGTCCTGTGCAAATAATGTCTTAACATCCCTGTTTCTGAAAAATGGAAAAGATGTACTGTGGAAAGTAGAAAAGTTCCTTTTTCAAGTTTCCTTTCTTGTTAAAGAATGA